GATTAACCCAACTGTAAGATTTGGACATGGGTTATTAACCCAACCTTCAAATTGGACCTCATATATTTATTTTGTTTATTTTTAAAAATGCACAAGGAATTTTCAAATGAGAGTCTATTGAAGGGCATTTTATAATGCAATTGCCTCACAAAAAATCCTATTAGAATTCCCGGTAGGGACTCCAAGGTCACCTTTGGTTTAGTTTGACATCCTTCTGGTTACCAGAAACCATCTCCACGGACAATTCTCAGATTCATTATTAAGGAATCCCGTTACAAAACACTGCAAATTAGTCCCTGTTGTGAAGGGACACAGTCCAAATGTTAACATGTCTAATCTTTCAGAATCGGGTTGGCTTCTATTATTTTTAGTTTCCATTTCGTTTTTAGCTATGTTATGATCTGAGGTTATGTCCAACCATCACCTGTGCTTGAGTCCATGGATCTGCCAATATCTCTTTTCAGGTTGAGCGTCATTTCACTAACAGTGCACTGTATCAGATTTGTGAGTGCTGCTTAGGAATATATTACGTTGTGACTCAACCCTCAATAAATCGTGGCTGGTTATTTTATTTTTCAAATTCTATTCTTGTGATTCCCAAGCTCCCTCGCGTTAAAATGTTACAGGTTGTAAGAGTCCTCATTTCCCATATTTACTCGTTTTGGTTGAGGGAACTGCTTCAAAGCAGTAATCGGCTGCTTGTTTTGAGAGTCACAGGGGTATGTCACAAACATACTAAACACAATTCAGGTTTGAAATGTTGGAAAGTGCATATGAGTTGATATAAAAAAAAGATAGCAATGTACTTCACCCAAATCCTCAGTGTTAGTTTTCCCTGAATTATCAGAAATGTTCAAGGATCAAATTAATTCACGTAAATCGGTCATTGTGGAAATTAGTTAAGATTGTTCCAATGGTTTGCAAAAAATATTATCTATTACCATTTGAAGCGGTTGCATTGTTTCTAGAGGTTAAAATGCTTTATGTTTGTACTACTGTGTTTCTTCCATATTTCACTTTAAACACCAATAAACTCCCGCTGCAGTATTCTCTCTTGGTTTGCCTTTTAAATCATCCAGAATACACAACCATCAGGTGCTGATGGATTCTGAATTTATTGAATTGATATGAAATTGAAAAGTACAGTAGAACAGGCACAAAGAATAGGGTGGCTTTAAATTGTGTAGCACTCCTTCTGATGATTGGAATATTGCGTGCTAATAGAGTACTGACTTTAACCTTCCTGATTTATGGATAGGTAATTCAATTTAAGAGTATAGTAAATTATATGATGATTACACCAAAGTTATAACAATTTTGAATTGCAGTTTAAGCCACTGTCTTTGTAATTTTCAGAAATCTGCAGTTGAATATCTACACATTAGATAGATTTCCGCTAGAAAATAATACCTTGGGTTACAGTATATAGTTTGGGAGACTACATGTCAAGCCACTGCAGGGATGGTGGAAGGTGAACTAGATGGACCATGGTCTTCTTTCGCCTAGCAAATTTGTATGTTCTTACACCAAAATTAACTGTTAAATAGATTAATGTTTCTTTATTAAACAGTATCAATATTAAACATTCCATTTTGAATTGACATTTAATGCACATGGTTTATGTACTTCCTAGTCTTAGATATTCCTATATTTAAGGGAAGGACTTTCGATTTTCCAACTCTGAATCCTTGGACAATGGACTATGATCTCATGTCATTAGCCTCACCATAAACAGCCTTGTGCTGTGCCATACTCAGTCTACATGGAGGTAGATTTTGTACTATTTGATATCACTGGTGTGAGGCGGACCTTGGACAGTGTTCTATCCACTTGTACAAAAGCATATTTTCCCAGAATGTAAACCACCCAATAAGGGCTATCTTGATATCAAAGGAAAGAGTCGTATTGGACTTTGAATCTAGATAGCGCTTGTTTGCACTCCGTAAGAGTGTTCACGTTAGATTATCCGCACTTCACAAAGCCCACAAGGTTACTGTGCATTGCTTGTGATAACACCACCTCCTCCGAGAGCCCAGCGATCAAACTAAAACCTTACAGTCAACATTCCCAACAATCATATCAGCTATTGATTGCTGCATGGCGATGCACATACAAGGAGGAATGGGTGAAACACTTTGATATCTTTATGCATCTGCTCTCAGTAAAGAAACATTGCATGAAACAAAAAATGTTATACAAAACTACAGTTATCCATCGGTTTCTCATAGTTTGACCTCCTGGAAACCTTGCAACACCCTTTCAATCTCCTTTAGGTCAATGGGACAATGCCAAGGGATCTCAGATGCTTATTCCAGATGTATTTTCTGAGCGGACCCCAGACACAGGTTCCACTCCACCATTAGCTTCCCTCATTTATTTTGACCGTGACCATTGCTCTCACTGCCTCCTCTTGATTAACTATCCATTTATGAGTTTTCTTGCCTTGAATCCTTTGGTCGTGACATTTTGCCTACTGTCAAGCATCATAAACAGTCTCTGCTGTCAATAAAGAATTAAAGCCATAGTTCCTTTCATTCGTTCCTAAAGCACCTCTTCCGAATGAAATGAGTTATGTCCAGAATTCAAACACTTGCACTTAATAGCTCAGGGTGCCCCCCTCCCCCCTTCTCCCTCTCTTTCTCCCCCTCTTTCTCTCACTCTGTCTCTTGGACAAAGCAAAAATTTGATTTTTGGAAAGTTTAACATCGCAGTTTTACACCATGCACCCAAGGAAAAGTGCAGAATGAAGCAGATTTGGGCAGTTTACAATCCGTTCACGATGCCTAGACCTCAAAAGAGATTATTCATGATTATTTTCACTGAAGAGATCATAAAACACTGAATTGGAGCCAATGACCCGACCCTGCGGTTTGGTTTCACCTGGAGTATATTATGATGAGAAGTGTCTTGACCTTTTTTTAAAAAATAGAATTCGTTCAAATATTAGTTCATATAATATTTCAAATATATGATCGATGTCAAAACTTCATATAAACTGAACACCGATTTACGTACATTACCAAAACATCCCATGGAACTCAACAGGGCCCGACTCCAGAGGTATCCGCACAGACAGAAGGGATCGATCCACTCAACTCACAATATAAACACCAGTCCCCGTCTAGAATAGAGCAGCGCCTAATCCAGACTTTCCTCTCTTATTTTCCTTTCCGATGTCTACATCATTGTGGAAATACTGGGTGAAGACATGGGGAAGGACGCTTTTAATTTGTTTCCTGATATGTTGATATTGTAGCAACACCGCTCAGCTGGTAGTATCGCAAAATCCCGAGTCAAGTGTCGAATTTCTCTTGCAAAAGCAGCAGCTCGATAAATATAGTTATCACTGTCGGATTTAATTTTTTACATCGCCAAGGAAGTCTTGTGCAAAGATTACGAGCCACTTTGAGTTTCGGTTAAGAGAAGGAACCAAATGAAAGCTGTCACTGCAAATACAAATGGACAGATCTCTTTGTTTTATGAATGAATTGCAACGACGACAGCCCCCGGAAAGGCTGACGTGGCGGCTTTGATCCAGTGGGACGTGCGTCTGAACTTGTTGATGCCAATGTCCTGGGACCTTATGGAGTCAGCAATGCCAAGGCGGGGTCGGTCCGGGTTAAAGCCGAGCGGCACCAGCTTCAACACAGCACACTCTCCCTGCAAAGGATAGGACTTCTGTCCTGTGTCAAATGTTGCGCGGGCTCTTAAAACATATTTAAAAAAACAGGTGCATTGGACGGATTCCCTTTATTATTATTATTATTGTTATTATTATTATTGTTGTTATTATTATTCTGTCCAGGGCTATGTTCACTCAGAGAATCACATTGACGTCAGGGTGGGGGAGAGACCACTTTGTACAGAGAAGCACCACGACTTGACGTCATTTGTTTCTCTGGTTAAAAGAAAAACCCACTGAGAAATGAATTATTTAACACAACATCCCCCCCCCCCCCCCCCCCCCCTCCCACACACACACAAAAAAATCTCCCCCAGACTTCTCCCCCTTTGTATGATGCCAATGGATTAACAATCCACGGACAGCTGGAGTATTGCCTACAGTTTTGTGGCGAGTTAACCAGTGAGTGACACAGATATGCAGGAGGGAGAGTGAGGGGAAAGCACGAACACACACACACACACATATATATATATATTTGGCAATTCATATTCAAATTAACACGTTTTCACTTGTCGGCTTTATTTTCTTTTGCAAGTTACTCGCGAATTTGACACGTTTTTTTTTGAGAAGTCCTTTGAAAGAAACCAACGTGGAAGTGTCTTCGTGTCAATTAATTGGGATCGAGGTGTCTCGGTACCTTGTGAAATGAGTCAAGATGGATAAAATGGGTGGGTTTCCTCTTTTAGCTACGATTGGGGAATAAAACCCATCGCGTCGAGTGTTTTTTTTTCTCTCTCTCGCTTTTGCTGTACATCACAAGACTTCATACGACGAAATGAAAAATCAAAGGTTAGGGGCAATATTTTTAAAGCTATTCGATTGCTTTAAACCAAACTGTTAGAAAGGCACGACGTGTGAGGAGTGTGGAGGTCAAGGTGATGTCAAAGCGATGTACATCTCCGAGGCTTTATTTGCACTGTATTCCGTTAATGATGCTCCACTGCGACTGCACAACTGCATTTGGGATACATGATCGTTTAGCACAAGAGATTACTGCAAACAGCAACTCGCCCACATCTAAACCGCCGCAGTCTCCCAAGTGCTGCATGCAATGACAACCCCTCCTCCCCCCACCACACACACACACACACACACACTTTCCTCCTCTTGGCTCCTCGGATCTTCATCCATTGAGTTTCATGCTCAGCTATGAGAGGTCACCACTCCCCCCCTCCCCCCTCTCTTCCAGGGGGAGTTTCAGCAAACAGCACAGGAGGGGGTGGGTGGGAATGGGACGCTCTGCATCTCCAAATTAGCACTTAGATCTGAGTAATGCCGAGCTCGGAGGACTATAAATGGCGTGTGCTCTTCCCTACCCCAACAGGATGCAGTAAATGTAACCCATACGTCAAGAGTGTACGTGACATACGAGGCCGAGCCCCTTCCCCCCTCAGTCAGGCGGAGTGAACCATTCCACTTCAGCTCCACTCTGCTATTACTTGAGCGCTAACTTGTTGGCAATGTGTGATGTCCGGCCTTTCCCCAAATGTTCCCAGATAACCATTTGAAAGGTTTTAGTCTCCAATGGTTGTACCAAATGTAGGATGGGACTTACGTTGAACGGAGCTTGCTTTGCATTTATTCTTGCTGTACAGCTCGGTAAGTTCAATATAAATCTATATATATATGTGTATATTATTATTTTTGCACCAGGTGTAACCTTAAGTGGGTTTAAAATTATCCACCCAAGGAAAATAAATGTACTGTTGCATTGCAATGTTTGTGCTGTATGTATTTGGCGATCTGAATGAAAGCATATTTTGCACAAGACAGACATGTGTGAAACGCAGCGGTCAGGTTTAGTTTGTAACCACTTAATTTCTCTGTGGCACAATTTTCTGACAGAGCGAGCGCAGGGCCGAGCAGAACGAGCCATCCCTCTTTCCCCCCTAAAGATTGCTAGTAAGATCCTACGGGCGTCATCAGATTTCCGTTCAGATAAGGAAGAAAGCAGGAGTAGATGAAAATGGTGCAGTTTTTTTTTATTAGGCGATGTTGGGTGACAGCCGGGTGTCGATCGATGCAAAGGACAGGATGCTAATGTGAGTTTAAGATTGCAGTGTTAAATCCCCTGGACGGGATGAGAGCAGAGAACTGTCAGGGGGACTGCAGCCCACTTACCTCCACGAGGAAAAAAAAAGCCTCTCAGAACCCTAACCAGCCTCCAGCAAAACCAGCCCCGGAACTGCAGAGACAGGGGATAGATACAGCACAACTCTTCAGATCACAGTCCCTGCAGTCGGACTCACATCCCTGGATCTGTTCTCAGGGGTTTTGCTTTGAGATCCGCTTGTTCTATTTTAAGCAAAATCTACTCATTATAACCCATTGACTTCTCTCCCCCCTCCCCCCCCCCCCCCGAAAAACCAGCCAGAAACCAGCAGCATCTTAAAAAATAATTATACATTTATGTTGCTCACGTTGTTTTGTTCGGTTACGGTCTGCAGAAACCCCTATTACAAAGGGAAAGTTGTTTTCCATTTCCTGTTTTCAACCCCACTGTGATTCAAATAATAATAATAAACCGCTTTATCCTCTCAAGAATTCACAATGCAATAAGATGGCAAATTAAGCCGCGGCACCTTTTAAATTAATGAAATGCAAGATAATGTTTTAAAACCCCGAGTAATCTGACAAACAGCTCGACTCCCTCCCGATGAAAAATCCACCATTTTTTCTAGCGTGCAATAAATTGGTTTTCATTCAATCCGAGTACAAAAAGGGGCAGATGCAAAACTTTATTTGTTTCTTAGAAAATGAAGTAAGGGGCACTGGGTTTCTGAGGGATTGGTGCATAAATATATATCACATATTATATATAATACAGCAAAAGAGCAATATTCTCCACTCTGCCGAGAGCTGCAGTGTAATGGGAGATCAGCCTCTGGTCTTGTTCCTGTCGCTGGGGTTCTTTTTGTTGTACGTGGTCCGGGTGATAGGTCTCCAGCATTTGCTTTTGCAGCGAAGGTGGCGGGTGACAGAATTGCTGTTTTAATTACTTTAATGAGTTTTACAATGCAATTTTCCGCGTCCATTAAAAGGCGTTAAAGCGACACTTCCAAAAAGGGCAGCAATAAATAGATTTCACGCTATCAGACGGTCGACCTCGGGTGTAAAATCCCAGTCTGATCCTGTCACAGCGAATTGTACCACTGTGCACAGGCGAATTTTGAACATTTGCGCTTATTTTCGATACAACTGGATATTGCTTCCATTCCCTGATACCATCTGCAAGTTCTCTCCTCCTGCCAACGCCTCGGACCAATTCACGTCTCGAAATTGTGTGAGGGGTTTGAACATAAACACGATCTTTTTACCCACAGTCTTTATCACGATTAAACCATTCGAGCTGAGGATAGAAACTGGGATCGGGCCGATGCGCGCTCGCTTAGCCTGAATTTTTTTTTAGAAGAACTCCTATTCGAAAAAGAACCAGGATTTCCTAAACGCATCGCGTGTTACGTGTGCATCGTTTGCACGTACAAATGCAGGCACAAGACGAGATTATTGCTTCGGATCGTTCACCTGCTTTGTAAGGATCAGGTTATCTGCACAGAGGAACTGCGGACTGACACTTGGGAGTCTGCTCGCCACCCGTTTGGTTGTGTATGTGTGTAAGCGGGTTACACTCACAAGCTAAGCTGTGACTATCTGAATATTAGCCAAGTTATTGCAGCACCATATGGTGCTAGTTTTAGATTGCAAACCTCCCTCTTTCCAGTCTTAGTCAGGATTCCACACTGATCAATTAGACCGACCCAGTCTAATTCCCCAGCACTTAGGGCAAGATTGATAGGGATAAATAACATGTACACGGTTCCGCTAGCAAACCCCAGCCCCTCATCCATAAATGTAATTGAATTTTAAAACAAAATCAATTGAGCGTGATCTGACCAACCAAGCGAAAAGGGGCAAACAAGCAGAAGTGGACACTTGTTATTGTTACTCTTGTCCCCCCCCCCCCACCCCTCCCCCTCCTCTCCAAACCTGATATGCAGAATTTCAAGCTCGCAGAAAGGCGTGAAAATCCAAACCTTTGCGCTTTGAAATACTCCTTTTTTATTATTATGGAGGGGAGGGGGTGATTAGATTTACGTGCAGGGCGATGTCCAAATGAAGATGTTAAGTATGTTTGTTGAGAAACCCAGAGAGGGAGCGCGGGTCACCTCGCGGCAAATAAATGAAAAGGACCAGTAATGATTCTGAAGAGTGAAAGACTAACTCGTCCATACAATAAACCAATTTAAATTATTTTAGGTCAAGGTAAAGGTCAAAGGCTGCTGGGATTACACAGGGCACAGGGAGAATAGCTGAACCAGTACAGGTAGATTGCAGGCGTATTGAGAGACTGTTTGCGACACAGATCTTCCCTGAATTAAACCATACCTGAATTATCGCCTTATTTCCCGAAACGAATACACAGTATTCGCAGTAGATCGCGGTCAGGTCCGAGGGAGGGGAATGAGAAGTAAAAGATGGCTCGGTGCTCATTAAGGTACCACCAGGAGAGATTTGCTTAGGCAGAAACAGAGAATAAATATGACGGTCCCCTAATAAAAGCACAGTCAGCAAGATTTTAAAATGAAGGTGGCAATTTGCTCCGATGGGTCGAGTAGTTTTTGACCCTACTTTTATTTGCCTTTTGCGTTTCGCGCACCACATCTATTATTGATAACCATTCTACCCGCTCTCGTTGTACTAATGCTAACGATTGTATTTTGCAGCATATCTGTTCCACGCTGTGAGGGCGGCTGGGAAGTGCGATGCAGTCTTTAAAGGTTTATCGGATTGTTTGCTGAAACTCGGAGGCAATGTGGCTCAGTACCCACAGGAACTGGATGATAAGCAAAACCGCCAAACCATCTGCTCGTAAGTATGACACAGGTATATATGCATACACACGCACACACACACACACGCGCACACACACACACACACACACGCAACACACACACACTTACTCACTCTGACTCACACACACAAACACTCACAGTTTAATCTGTAATGATGTACATTCACGCACTCTTTCCCACACGCTCCCACAGACTGTTACTCACCCACACGCTCTCCCCTCACACCTAGACACATGCACAGTTATATAAATGTCTGCTTGCTCACCAGGCGAGCACCACACACACACACACACACACACACGCGCGCATGTTCGCTGACACAGCTGTCATCTGCAAATCCATGTATTTAATCCACATGCTCGCCGTCAACCCATGGTTTCGTGTCTGTAGATTTACAGATGTCATCACCTCCATGTTCAGATGTACAGTATGTGCTTACAGCCAGTGTGCAGGAATGTACCGTGGTCAGTGCGTGTTTACAGGTGCTCTTACCAATGCTCTTACAGCGATCAAGTTTATCTTGTTTTTCTTCATCTACTCTTTTTTTTCCTTACATGAATGAAATCTGCCTGCACATGTGCGTGTAACATAGGCGTTCGTTTTCATATTAGTTAAGAAAAATCGTAAAATAGCAACACCTGTACGTACAGACTGTGAAGCCTGCACTATTGGGGGACAACTGAGGGTTTACTGCAGCAAAGTTTTTTTTTGAAAAAAAATCAAAATAGCTGTAATCTCCTTTTTACCCGACCGCAAAGTGCGAATTTGTCCGACTATGGTGTTGTATAACGGCGATTTAAGAGGACAGCATGTATACTGAATTAGCCTTTTTGGGGTGCTTTTATTTTTGACACGCGTACGTTCCTGCCCGCTTAATGTTTATTTAAAAACCTGAATTAAGAACACACCTCGCAATCATTGCCAAGAACTCAGCATTGCACATCTCGATAACCTAACTATTTTGCCTACGTACTGTATTGAGAACGATTCAACTATATACCTACCAGCCCTGGTTGGGGGGGTGGAGGGGGGGGGGAGCCTTTATAAGAAAGAGAAAGACGACCCATATGAACTGCTACAGTGGAACAATTCTTAATTTAACTATATCTGATAATCGTCGTCACTTTCGTTGTAAACCCCTTTCTCTTACATGCGATTCAGTGTGTTTATGGAGGAGAGACTCGGTCGAATTCATTGTGAATTTCAGATAAACCAGTGAAATCGCTTGTTCTCACTCTTGCTGTAACTCTGCTCATATAGTATCACAATTCAGAGTTATTCTTCCTGCAGCATTTTCGCTTTCTCTCCCTTCCGCAGCTGTTTTTTTTCCCCTGTACGTGTGCCTCGCTGTGTGAGAGGCGAAGGGAGACGAAGATCAAAAATGATTTGGTTTTCCTTTGGGACATGCAATTACAGCAGAAATACTACAGGAAGAGCACAGTCAGCCCGGCCCTGGCATCCCAATACCTCATTATTTATTTCAAATGTATTAAACATGGGCTCTGCAACCATTTTAAAGTGTTCATAAATTAAAGACTGCCTTTGCAGGAACAAGCGCTCTATATAAACAATCGAAAGCGACTCAATTTACACTGCATACTCTTTTCAACATCGCCTTTGTTTTGATCTAACCATAAGACATTTACGACCATATAAAAAAAATAATGGGGCCCATTGTGGGGAATGTACGACATGCCTCGACTCGTTCAATTGATAGAATCTTAATTGGGATATATATATTTTTTTCACTGATTTCAATGAGAAGCAATGTTGCACATTCAACAGCCATAACACTCTTTTAGCCCCATGCGACGCTGCATAATGTGTAACGTGATTTGTTTTTTTTTGTGTGTGTGTGTGTATGGGGGGGGGGGGGGCTGGTGGTGTTCCACAACGCTTGGAATTTGTTCAGAAAAATGCACAGTCGAGAAAAATGTAAATGTTGCAACAAGGCTTCTTTGCGCCAAAGGCCAATCTATAATTCATGTCGCTTTAGAGGGAGCAACAAAAGCGCCTTTGCTCACCTCGCGAGAAATTGTCAATGAATTTCTCCTCCGAAAGGCCGACACGAATGCAGGGACTTTTGACTCACCGAATGAGCGAGCGATTGAATCCGTCAGCGAAGTCGCGCTATTTTAAGACGGCGCATAATTGAATGCAGATCCTTTTACAGGAGAGGGATTTTTTTTTTTTTTTTTTTTTTAAAAAAAGAACAACAACAACCAACAAAAAGCAATGCATTTTTTTTTATTGTTCTGTGTCGATTCGTTTCTCTGTGATAGATACTGGGAAGACTTCCACGCCTGCGCCACCACCGCCCTCGCTGACTGTCAGGGGGGAGCGGCCGATGTTTGGGAAAAGCTGAAAAAAGATTCCAAAAATCTCAATTTCAAAGGCAGTTTGTTTGAACTGTGTGGAACGAATGGCTCGGCCAACGCAATAATTCCCCAGAGTTTCATCTTCACGGTTTTAACACTGTCTGCATTAGTGACCTGGATTACACTCTAAGGAGAACGCACGCAAAAGCATTAGAGAGAGAGGAGAGAGAGAGAGAGAAAAAAAAACCACACACACACCATCGTATTGGATTTTTGCAATCATTTCAGAATTATCGGGACGTATTGATTCATCAGTGACCCAGAAGACATTTTGCCAGAACTGGAAATATCCTTCGGTTGCACACAACGCGATCCGTCCTTATTTGCCAAATGTTACCGAGCAGTGATTGACAGCAAACACAAATCTACAGACTTTGCACCTGTGTCATTTCAAGAGAAAAAAAAATGCAAACTGTAAACCCACTTCGGTTCAAACTCAGGAACGGCCTCTGGCCATATGCTAAACAGTGTGGGTTCTTCGGAGAGAGAGAGATAGAGAGAGAGAGAGAGAGAGAGAGAGAGAGAGAGAAGGAGAGAGAGAGAGAGAGAGAGAGAGGGGGAGAGAGCAAAGCAAAAAGCTGTTCACTCTTTGGTGTAATTCGTTGTGAATAATTTAACACCTTGGTTATTGCTGCTGCCTCCAGTGCAGTTTCAGATTAGAGTTTTTTATCATTTCGCACCTCTCCTCATCGCGCCAAGAAAACTACAGTATTCACCTCAAAACGTGGAAGACGGATGTTGCACAAATTCGTCCCTCTTGGAAGAAAATCGCTGATTTGTTTCGTAGTGTAAAAGATATGTCGTCACCCTCACACGCTTTTATTTTACAACAAATTACTTTATATATGATATGATATGATATTATATTCGCTGACTCGTTTGGGATGTGGGAACAGTAAAGCCGCATAGATCACAGGGGGTCTTAAATGGATTTCAAAAGAAATGGTACGAGACCCCAATTCCTGATTTAGAAATTAACAACATTTAAATCGACAATTTAAAGAACGTAAATCGGCGACACAAACAAAAACCCAGAGAGCGAGAGAGAGAGAGAGAGAGAGAGAGAGAGAGAGAAGGGGGGAAACAGGAATAGCTGCGTATCCAGAAATAATGCAAAACAAGTTCTGTGCTTGAAATCACGGCGTCCCCTGTTGTTTTTGGGCGAAGTGAGACAGCAAGAGCGTAGGGGAAAAAAAGGATTATCGCAACATGTTAAAATACCTGCGAGAGAATGGTTACAAAGCTGCTGTACGATTTGTATTAAAATGATGACGTCGAACTATATACACCCCGAGCTCTCCTTGTCATGTTTCCAGGAGTAGTCAGTCAGTCAGTCAGTCAGTAAAGCTGTTTCATAATTAATAAGGCAGAATGCTGAGATGGCACCAGCCCTTATTGATCAGAAGTAGAAGCTTTCCTATTTTTAGCGCACTGATAGTCTTCGGGTTTTAAAATAAGGGAACGCGAGTAGAAAAAAGGGAATAGAGACGGTGCGTCTAAATAGAGAGGACTGTGTGGATGTGATATGGGATCTGATACAGGAAGAAAGATGAATGGGTTGTTTGTTAGACGTCTTTACCCTCCAACGCCAATGCAGCCGGTGGTGGGGGTGGGGGTAGGGGTGTGGGGGGTTTCGACCCTTCGGCGGATTTCATTCAATGCTCTTGTTAGGCGATTCGGAAAGGCGATGCCTGGCTGGGACTGGCTGGTGGGATATTTATTTCTCTCTCTCTCTGGTCTGGAACATGCGGTTGAAAATTAAGTGTGTGAGCAACGTGAAATGTCAACTAGTTCATAAATCATCAGCAGTAGGTGGTAACCCGATTTGCTCCCTCCCACCCCCACTTCTTCCCTCCTCTCCCTCCACTCCCTCCTGAAGTGCTGGCACCGGATTACCTCATCAACAAACACATTTTTAGGGGTTAAATAAACCTGGGGTCAAGTTTACTCATGCTTTACAATCTGATCCCAAATAGACATGTTAGGATGAATATGTACAGTATTACATATTGGAACAGCCCCTTTGATATTCGCCCTTTCCTTATATAAAATGTTTAAAAGACAAGAAGAGGGGGGGATTGATTGCACACCTTTATTTTCAAAAAAGTTACAAGTTAGAATAATCTTTCTTCGGATTTAAAATAACCGCGCTCACATCTGGTGCAAAATATACAAAAGAATGTAATGGTACTTCACCCGAGTTACATAAAATAATTTATCTAGATCTCGTATAAATGCGGATTGTTTTTTGTTAAAAAAACGATTTATTTGAATACCTGGGTGGGAGGCTCATTTTACAAGAAATTAGCACTTTGTTCGTTTGAATTTGATTCATTTTATCTTTATCATGATATTAAAAATCGCAATTTTTTAATATATACATATTAAAAGTGATTTTCCTGACTTAGTGCACAAATATCTGGGCATTCGGATACTGCTTGTTTTTTTTAAATTTAAAAAACAGGAGAAATTAATATATTTCCGTCTATAATCTAGAGCTAAATTACTTCTTAAATGTGGGCGTCCTTTGCTGACTGTCCCCTGAGGCATCTCCTGTGGCGTTTAATGGATGCAAACAGGATGCAATAAGGACTCACCGCACCGAACTCTGCCTCTGTGTTACAATAAACTGTCCTTGGTTTCAAATCATTTTATTGTACCTTTCAACATTTTTAATCGATGTAAAAATGGTCGCAAGTTTAAACCCAGATACTTGCGAATTGGTCAGTTTCAGCATTTAATGTGAGGCATCTGTTAATAACATTGTTCTTCCCCCCCCCCCCAAACAGTCTAAAAAATGTAATGTACCATTTAATAAACCCGAGGACAAAAGCCTCATCAGTCCCATGACAAGTAATTCCCTCATTTAGGTTTCACCAGGACAGTAAATGAATGTTATTAACTGGTGTTAAAATATGAAATCAGACTCCGATGTAGGGTTACAATTTTTTTTATCATATCAAACATACTGTCCACAATTGTCAACGACTAAACCTAACATTGGAGGACACATTTGACCTGCAAAATCCATCACAAAAAAAAATGCATTGGGGACTTCCAAGACATTCAGGTCATTACATTTAAAATCAACAGAACCAGTTTTTTTTTTAAAAAAAACCCAATGTTTGAAAGCGTGACATGGGCGTGTGGTGGCTGAGGGTATTAACTGCTAAGTGACAAGGTTAAGCCAATCTGTGCGTTGTTGGCACGTGTTTTGTGTGGTGGTGTCCAGCTGTCACTGAACCCGCGCCAGTCAGTCAGTCCTCGGCTCTGTCTTCACTTTGGTGAATTGCCTGTTTCAGGCTCTCCCCTGGGAAGAGACACGCTCGCATCTCAGCGGCGGGATGGATGGGATGGATGGGATGGATGGGATGGATGGGCAGAGGAGGGGAAGGATATGGTGTCCCGGGACAGGGTGCTATACATGTACACCACAAGGATTTGAGTCAACGGGCGATGCAGTGTGTGCGCTGTTGGAGAGCGGCTGTATCACCAGCTCTCTCACTCCCTCACTCACTCACTCACTCACTTTGCTGACACTCACAGCCGAGAGCCGAGCCTCACAAGCCGCAGATATGTGCTTCTGCAGCCCCCTCCCCGTGCTGGCTCCAGTAATAATCCAGCCCCCGGGGGAGGGATAGAATAAAAAATCCAAACCAGATTGGTTGCTTTGCAACAAATTCAATTTAGCCCCACATGCCTCATACCTTTTGTTGTAGTTTACCTTGGATATTCCACAATTAATGTCGCGTCCAATTGCCTTTTTTTTGTTAGTTTGACACTCACTGGCTTCCCATCACTGGCATCGTTGTATATAGCTCTCTCTATTATAAGTATAAAACCGTAAAACCGATCGATGAAACGCTTGCACGCAAAATACTGTAGAGTTAGTGACTGAATTGTACACTCAGCAAAAAAAAACTATCCTCAGGCATTGCACTTTAAAGTGGGTGAAGGTTTGTGCGTCCAGTATTTCACTGCAGTGGAGGTGCAAGTGGGAAGCTTAAACTGTTAAGTGTTTTTTTTAGAAAAATTGTGTTTTAGAGAAGACACAGGTTTTTTTTTTTTGGGGGGGGGGGCGGCTCTCTTTGCACTGGCAACGTGTGTGCAACGAGACGGAAGTGAATGAGAGAGTGGGTGAGTGTGAAGGGAAAGGAAAGGGGGTTGCTTTAATAATGAATGTCTCATGGTTAGTTCTGCAGGAGACGAAGCGGCTCAGTGCCAAACCCGCGTTACCCAGGCGACGGCTGCAGGGGAGGGGGGGGGGGGGGGGGGGGGTGGGGGCTGTCTGTGTTGGAGCCCTTCAGGTGCGTGAGTGAGTCCAAGCAGAATCTAGAGCTGGGAATCAGAGCAATCCCGAGGAAAACACACACACACGCACACAGAGAGAGAGAGAGAGAAAAACACATTATTACTGCAAAAAAAAGACGAATAACCTTTGTATTAATTCAGCAAAAAAAACACGCATCAGCGTGTGCACAAATCGCACCGATGGCCCCCCACCCCCCCACCCCCCACCCAATGCGCGTTTGTACCCAAATCTCTGCCGCGCGTGTGTTAACTGCAACTGATGGTGTGATCCGTGTGTTAGTGTTGAGGTGAAGTATTTATAGAATTGTCCTGTTGTGCGGTGGACGAGAACGTGTCTGACTGAGGTCTAGGGTTGGCCCGGGGATGGAGGGGAGTTGCTGTGTCAGATCACAGCTCAAAAAAATAAAGCTCCACTGTGGAAACTGGGCTTTGCACCCACTGTTTCTCGTCATTTATAACAGGGCCATAGAGTAAGTCGCTACTCAGTTCGATTCCTGTCGGCCTTCGCGATAGCAAAACAGGATTGTTATGCTTTTAAAACGATTCGTTTTAATCTTCAAATATTCAGTCTGCGACTTTTCACATCCAATGCATCTTGTGTTTTTCGGGGAATCCGCAAAGAAGGGGTGGAGGGTAAGTTATGTCTTAAGAAGAGCAAACTACATGCTCACAAACCAGTGGTCAACGTTGATTCAGTCTGTAGCTGTATATGTTTAGAAAGTAACACATTCCTCACGCCGGTTGTATTAATATTGCTCACACCTGGCGTGTTGATCTTTTGTTTGGATGAAACGGAATTAAATGTGCTGTAGTATTTACATGTCAAAAAAGGCACGTTTGCATGATTGATGTGTAGGAAGAAGACCTAGTCAGCCTGAAAAAAATAACCAAGTGAAATAATGTCAATTGTCTGAAAATCTTACCCAGCCTGATTTTAGGGAGAAGGAGAGCGTTTGATTCACAACGCTCTCGGTTTCATTATTTTCCCAAACATTCCCCGCCCGCTCGGCTATTTTAACCAAAACACTTTGAACCGTTAACCTTGTCGTGTCTTTTAAACGGAGATCAAACCTTGTTACAGTTTTGCAAATTTGTAATATGCCACTTTAATCGCACACAGAGCCAGGCAGTCATTCGAAATTGCTTCTCGTGGTGGTGAGGGTGGGGGAATGTATCCCTCGTGTGTGTGTGTGTGTGTATATATATATATGTATATATATAAGGGGTGGGGGGAGCTTCTAAATGTCAAACGTTTGCTTCATGCATTGAGCAGAGCCTGACTGCTTAAATGTGTGACAACAGCCAGTATAGATGAGCAGAAAGGTTACACAGTGTATCTGACTTGATCATACCCTTGCATTTCCACATGCTAAAATACATTTCTTAGCCTGATGCCCGCGCCTGTGAATGAAAATCACATAAAACTATAAATTATTTTTATAGAAGCTTCAACGTGACGCACACATGAATAGCTGCTCCAACGTTCAGTGTTGGGGATGGGTGGGGGGTGGGGGGTGGGGAGGGGGGGGGGGAATTAAAAAAAATCTATTTAAAATATCATATTTAAATAAATAATTATAATGAATATTTTAGGTTGTTCGCAGATTCAGTTTCTATAAATATCTATCAACAAATAGATAGTTTCTACCGATAAATAGAAGCTAGTATATTCAGAATAGTTGCCTCAAAAGATAACTCAATAACAATAAGAGATACAGTTTTGCCGCAGTCATTTATGTACTGCAGAATTATTTGCTCCCTCCTTTGGTTCTCTTTCTGTTTTCGGGTTTTATACAGATAGTTCTAACGTAACATTTCTTTTCGTAACGTGTGTGTGTGAACAAAACAACAAATTGAACTAAGTGTGTAAAAGGATACTCCTAATAATGCTTGCAGCCACGAAAGTGGGTTTGATGCCTTTATTCCTGTTTCATGTAACCTTTGTGCCCGCAATCACTACTTGAACAGCCTGT